AAGCGGGCTCTGTGGCCTATTCCCGTAAGCCACGGGGGGGACCAGACGCCCTTGGCTAACTGCAGGTGCTGCTGCACCCAAGGATCAGGGAGCTGGACCTGGCACCCCAGACCTGTGGCCTCCCGTGGGGGGCTAGAGCTCCAGCACCCTCCCCCCTTCCCAGACCTGCCCATCCCCAAGCTGCTTCTGCACCCCCCACCAACACTCCACCCCCAGCAGCCCCCCCACACACATCCAACGCCCCAGCCCAGAGAGGCCCCACAAAAATCTGCTAGGCTGCCCCCAGGCGCTGGTGTGGGAGGGGACCGTGGGGAGGGTCTTTCTGCCCTCGGGGGGCACGTCTGTGAGGCGTTTTTGTTGGGGGGGGAGGGTGCGTCTCACTTTTGTGCAGCCCCCCAAATGATTCGTCTGTGGGTCGCTGGCCCCCACCCCTGCAAGCCACGGTGCCCGGCGCCCCAACCCCCTGGCTCCCCGCCCCCAGGCCACGCAGCTGGCAAGTGGCACTAACTGATCAGCGGGCGCCTTGGCTTGGGACTAGGGCCGGCCAGCTGCTCGGCCCGCGGGCCGGGCTGCCGAGGGTTAACGTAGCCCAGGGAGGTTTGTTCCCTTGCTCAGCGTTGCCTCTCCTAACGCTGCCCACATGACAGATGCGTGGGGAGAGGCGCTGGCCTTGGCCCCCAGCAGGCCTGGGCAAGTGATGTCTTGTCTTATCTCGCTGCTGACACACCAGCATCCTTCAGCTGGAGGATTTAAGGCGGTGCGGGAGGCGATTCGCAGCACAGACCCGCCGAGTCGCCCGCAGAAGCAGCCGCCACCAGACCAGCACGATGCTGCCTGCCACGTTCAAGCTGTGCGCCGGAATCTCCTACCGGCATCTGCGCAACATGACAGGTGAGGGGGGCCGGGCGGGGTGGGGGAGGCTGGCTGGACAGCCCCACTGCTGTGGCCTGGACTGGCCGATTCCAAGGGCCTGCGCTGAGCAGTGATGTTTATTTCCGTTACACTTATTCTGGCTGCAGCCCCCGAATGCCCTAAGCTCTGTGCACCTGGAGGCACCTCTGTTCTACCCTGCCTGGAGCGCTTACCTGCCAGGAAGCCAGCAGGCATCACTGGAACTCCCTGCTGCGTGTTACGCAGCTTAGACCCTCTGCTGGTGTAAACTGTTAGTCCCCTCGGAGTTAAAGATCTGCCCTGTGCCCACATGGATTCCAGCCTTAGGCTCTATTAGCCTCTCCTCTATTGGCTGCCAGGCGACTAGCGCTACGGGGTGAGGAGGGAGATTACGCCTGTTTCTGAACCTAGAACAGTCCTGTGTTTCCAGGCAGGCTGTTGTAAACGTTCCGTTCTGTGCAGCTGAAACATGCACCCTGCCTTGAAGCGCTCACAGGTGAAGGCCGCAGCTTAGCCTCTCCAGTTGCTCTTTTCCAGACTGCTCGTGGCCAAAGTGCCGTACAGAGAAAGTAACTTCCACCAGACGCTTCTTGGCTTCTGGATTCCTGGGTCTTGTGCTGGGCTAGGGGACAATTTGAGGGCTAGATTCCATGTGTCATTTCTGTGGCTGGAGTTCTGCAAGCTTGGACGGAGTCTTCCTTCCTTCTGTTGGGGCTAGCCCCATGCCCCCGTGTGTTTTGCAAAGCCCCATCTCCACACATGGTCTCCCTATAAAATTGTTACACTCCATAGGGAAAGGGGTGATCCGGTTTATTTTTGAGGCCTGCCACTCTTGCAGCAAGCCAAATGCAGCTGCTGTAGCCCTGTGTGGCGAGGAGGAGAACCCGTTTCTGTAGATGCACAGAAGGGTGGAAAGTAAAGAAAAATTAAAGAAAAAATCAACCTGGGTCTGACTGGGAAGAAATTTGTCCTGGAAGTTTTACTGTTACCTTAGCAGGGGCCCACGCAGTGAAGCTGTGAAACCCATAAGCCTTTTCACTTCAATTTCGCTCTCTCCTTTCAAGGCTTGAGACGACAGGCTGCAGTTGCCTTCAGCCAGGGGCTGGACAAACTCACCTTTGCTGGCCCTGGGCCCAGTAAATGGATCAGCCAAGTCCGTAGGAGAAGCTCCTTGCTCAGTAAGTACCATTGTCTGCCAATGTACAGTGACAAGCTGGGGTGGGGGTGGGGATCCCGTGCCATTCAAACCTATGACACCAGTGTTCCCTCTAAGCTGGGCGAATGCCACCCAGCTGATGAGTAGAGCGCCCACAGCTCGGCTAATGCTGGTTTTGTGCGCACACCTCGGTGCACATAAAATTTATTCCGCACATGGATGGAAGCGATGAGAGGGAACATGGTAGGACAGTCTTGCGCCTGGCTCCAATGGGAGCAAGACTGGGGCCCAAGTCCCTCAAGAGGCTGGCAGGAAACTAAAGTGCCCCAGCGGCCGGGTGAGAGGAGGGAACTGCCCCCAGCACTCCTTCCATGCCCAAGTAAAAGCCCCACCCCTCACCCCTTTCAGGCTCCTTGCTGGAGGAGAAGCCCTTCAGCGAAGTGGAGATGACCTATATCAAGCAGGGAGAGGAAGCCCTTCAGAAATCCCTGCGCATCCTTGGGGAGCAGGACGGCTGGAAAACGGAGACCACGGCGGTAGGGTTTCTGCTCGGGGGCGGGGTTTCTAGCCTGTCCTTGCCTAAATGCGCCCGCTGGGAATGTTAACGCCGGGGTCTCCGTCTTGCTGCAGGAGAACGGGGACAAAGTGCTGAGCAAGGTGCTCCCCGACGTCGGGAAGGTGTTCCGGCTCGAGGTGGTTGTGGAGCAGCCCTTGAACTCTGTGTATCAGGAGTTGGTGGAGAGAATGGAGCAGATGGGAGACTGGAATCCGAGCATCAAGGAAATCAAGGTGGGGGCTCCACCACATTCGTTCTCAGCTTGCTTTGGCCTGGGCTCAGCCAAGGACTTAAACCCGGGCCTTGCTGGAGAGGGACTTTTAGGGTTAAAGCCAAAGGGTCTGTCAGCTACACTCGAACCACCTTACTCTGCCTCTGAGCCGAGAATACCATGGTTTGGACCCCCACACCAGCATGCCCCTCCCAGGCCCTGCCCCCCAGCACCCTCCTTCCCTCCCAATAACAGCTGAAATATAGGAAAACCTTGAAAAATAACAAGCAGAAAACCAGGTGCACATCTGTGCCCAGAGGGATACGTCCATCTGGGCTGAAGGGCGCCCAGCACCATGCATCTCGGTTAGAGCGAAGTTCGTTAGCGTGGAGCTTGCTTGGCAATAGCCACAAGGTGTCTGCAGAGGGGCGCAGTCCGTTTCTTTACCCCAGTGGCCTGGGGTTCATACGTGGAAGCTACGACTGTGCTGGGGTCTAACCGATTAGCCACTCCCCCCCCAGGTCCAACGTTCTCCCCGCCGGCGCAGCCGCTCCTGGAACACAGGGCGCGCTTGCAGCCGAAGGGTCTACTTTATTCCAGCAGCCACTTCTCAAATGGTCCTGGCTGAACCCTTAAATGCATTTCCCTCGTTGGCCACACACAGCCCGCCCTCAGCGTAACAGGATCATGGCGCCAAAGGCAGCAGTCTGGGTCTGGGGGCGGGGGGAAGGGAGGAGACATTGCATGGGGGAAGGCACAGCACTTGTTTTAAATTCGTTGCAAGGTCGTGTCACGCTGCTAGCTGGGACTCCAGGCAGCACCCGACACACACACCCTGACCCTCCAGGCTCTTGCCTGTTACGGTTGTGTAAGCAGCCCCGGTACGCTGGCTCTGCCTCATGCCGCCACTGTCCCGGTGCAGATTCTCCAAAAGATCGGGAAAGATACCGTGATCACCCACGAGACGGCTGCTGCCACGCCTGGCAACGTGGTGGGGCCCCGGGACTTCGTCAGCGTCCGCTGTTCTAGGAGACGCGGCTCTACGTGCGTCCTGGCGGGGATGGCCACACACTATGGCGCAATGCCAGAGCAGAAGGGATTTATAAGGTACGGCGCCACCCGGCTTCGTACAGAGCCCGACCGGCAGGCGTGGAATGGACGTGAACGGGTGGCTCTGCCCAGGGTGGGGGAGAGGCCGTTCCCAACTCAGGGGGATGGACACACGGTAGCTCTGCTCAAGTGAGCACGGGCACACGTCGCAAGTACAGAGTGAGGGGGGGGGCTAATGCAAGGGGCCACAGCCATCCCGCGCTCAGGGGGATTACAGCTGGAGCAGGGCAAGTTCAGGTACATGGGCCTGCCCCGGGAGTAGTTGATGTACCAGGTACGGAGCGTGGGGAGGGAGAAAGGCACAAGGAAAAGTACCAGTAGAAAAGCTGTTAGCTTGGAGTCCGGCCGGTCTTGTACATTTCAAGCTTGCTTGGGTGTGGGAAAATGTACAGAAAAGGGCAACAAAATTGACGAGGGTTTGGAACAGCTGCCATGAGGAGAGCTTAGAAAAGAGAAGATTAATAGGAGACAGGATGGAGGTCTGTAAAATCATGGCTGGTGTGAAGAAAGTGAATAAGGAAAAGTTATCGTTCCCACAGCACAAGAACTGGGGGGGGGGGGTTCACCGAATGAAATTAATAGGTACCATGTTTAAAACAAACCAAAGGAAGTTTTTCTTCACGCAACACAGGCCAACCTGTGGAACTCCCTGCCAGGGAATGTTGTGATGGCCAAGCCTGTAACGAGGCTCAAAAGAGAGCTAGAAAAATTCATGGAGGACAGGCCCTCAATGGCTGTTAACCAGGATGGGCCAGGAGGGTGGCCCCAGCCTCCGTTTACCAGAAGCTGGGAACGGATCTCTTGATGAGACTCCCTGTTTTGTTCATTCCCTCTTGGGCACCTGGCGTTGGCCACTATGGAAAACAGGACACTGGGCGAGGTGGACTTTTGGGCTGACCTCGTACAGCCGTTCTCTTGTCCCGTTGTGATTCTCTGCCAATGGAGGGGCCTCAGGCAGAGGGGACACGGACTGAAATCCTGCAGTCTGCAACACCCCCTTTATCTAGCCCTGCGCTGTCCCATGGGCACTTATGAAACAACCAGGACTCAAGGCCCAGAAGCTGGTGCTCTCGGCCCTGTGGCCACGAGGTGGTGTTGGTTTCTCCCCTTCTCTGGCTTACCTGGAGGCTTGATCTGATTTGGGCCCCAGTCCCGCTTAGGCCAGCGGGTTATACTCCACCCGGATGTAGCGGCTGGCCTGTGGCAATGCAGGAGGGCAGGCTAGATACTCTCCTGCAACCTCCTGGCCTGAAACGCCACACAGCAGGAAGCTCTTTCCTTCACGGCGTGACGTTTCAGACCAGAAGGGACCTGTGCCCTCCTGCGTCGCGCCCACCATCACATCCCTTTATGGCCCTCAAAGCCTCAACAGCATTTCGGCCCTCAGGGTGCGTCTAAACTACATGGCTCCGTCGATGGAGCCTGTAGATTAGGCTGATTGGCAAAGGGAAATGAAGCCGCAATTTAAATAATTGCCGCTTCATTTCAATTTAAATGGCTGCCGCACTGAGCCGACAAACATCTGATCAGCTGTTTGTCGGCTCAGCGCGCTAGTCTGGACGCTCCCCTGGCGACATGAAAGCCCTTTGTTGACCTCCCCGCTATGCCTCGTAGGATGAGGGTTACCAGGGAGGTCGATAAAGGGCTTTCATGTCGGCAGGGGAGCATCCAGACTGCCCTGATCTGCCGACAAACAGCTGATCGGCAGAGCGGGGCAGCCATTTAAATTGAAATGAAGCTGCGATTATTTAAATCGCAGCTTCATTTCCCTTTGCCGAACAAACAAATCGACATGGCTCCGTGACGGACCCTCAGGGAGGGAGCTGCTGTGTTACTTCATCCCCATTAGAAGGCAGGACGCCTACTTCTGGCCCTTTGCACCGCTTTTTTACTGGTACTCCCCTTCCTTCCTCTCCTAGCAGGTGTCTAGTAAATGCCCCTACCTCCCAGGCACCTCACACATGGCTCTAGGCAACTCACTCAAGGGAGGCGTGGGCACAGCCCAGGTGAAATAAAGGACTGAAGCACAGAATTTAAGAGAGTGGTCAAAGAGTAGAGAAACGTAACTCAGCAAGAGAGAGCTGGCCAAGTCCTCCTGGAGCCGTGACCCTGCCCCAGGGCAGCCCCCTGCAACCCCACCCCCACAGCATCCGTGCTGCTCTGTAGCAAAGCCCAGCCTGGGAGCGGCAGTGCCACTCTCCTGCCGTCAGAGGCTGCTACAGAAGATGGCCCCTGGGGATGGTAAATCATGGGCTTAATGTGATGCTTTTCTGCCTCTCTCCAGAGCTGAGAACGGGCCCACATGCATGGTGCTCCGTCCACTAGCTGGCGATCCTTCCCAGACCCAATTAACGTGGCTACTCAGCATTGACCTGAAGGTAAGTGCCCATGGGAAGGGCAGACGCCGGGAGGGAAGGGAGTGGATGAACGCTGTCTGAGGCTAGGGAGTCGTGAGCAGCTGGCTCAGAGACGTTCTCCCCTGGCAAAGGAATTCCCAGGGTGGAGCGGGAAAAGGGCCAGCTCTTTCTGAGCAGAAAGATTTGGTTCGTGTTTCATCCGAACTCACTGGCCCGTATCGCTGCAAAGTTCTCCCCCTCCAATCCCAACCTCCATAACCACAATCCCGCACTTCTTTCACAGGGCTGGCTGCCGAAGACGATAATCAACCAAGTCCTCTCCCAGACCCAGGTGGACTTTGCCAACCACCTACGCAAGCGCTTGGCTACCACAGCCACCCCAACTGCTGTCAGCTGCTGCCGGCTGGACACTGCCACGCCCCTCAGAAGCATTAACCCCTAGCAGCTTTTGCAGCTTGAGGGATTGCCAGAAACCCACCTGACATTTAGATTTGTCCTCAGAGGTGATGAGCTCCTGTAATGTGTTATTTGAAACTTGCATGTGGGTTTTTTGGTAAAGAAATGGACAGATAGTATATAAGGGAGGCTGCTGTTGACTAGGCTCAGACTTTTAATGCTACATGAAGTTCAATAATGGGCACTTAGGTCTCCATCCCGTCAGGAGGGGGCTCCCTTCTTATTTGAACAGATCAGATCTGCTGCTGCAGGCAACCCTTGAAAGGCCCACAGAAGAAGCTGTTTAAGTGACATCCAGAGCGGTCGCCTTGTCAGATTAGGCATAGTAGGGTCCAGTACTGGTGGTTCTAAGCTTTTCTATAGCGTGATAATTTCAGTGAAACTACTTCTGATTGAACAGGAGACTTGAGTTTAAGACACACTCAAGCTCCAGCTTAACCCGCAACCTGTGCCCCTCTGGTTCCATGACAGGGTTAGAACGTAGATCAAGGCATTTTGCAATATCCCAACACCCATCCCTGAGCAGAGCTGATTATTGAACTGTTAGTGCCAAGGGAGCCAGACGCGCTGGCTTTCCATTCCATTTATATTACACCCTTTGCTAACAGAGCAGCCAACTAACCAACCAGTTCTGGCTGTGGGGTATGACTGACCCGGATTTGAGGCAGGAACTCTGGTACCTGACTGGCTCAGATTTAGTGTGTACTTACTCTCCCTCTTCAGAGTATCTGTATCTGGTCTTGGTTTCTAAATAGGCTGCATAGTGTCTGCCTTGACATTTTCTACACTTAGCATGTTAGCACCGTGCACTGTTGTAAGCTTACACGTTAACTAAGAATCCCACAGACCAGCGTTCGTTTTGCACTCGGTGGAATGCAGCTGTAGGAAGTTATTTATAAAGCCAGGTTGCGAGTATTTATTTTTCTTGTATAGACATGCACAACGACTATTTAATATTTATTCTGTGACCATGGAGCTCTAAGCAAATTTACTTTTAGGGAGAAATCTACGTAGCCCGTAGGGAGATCTACAGTGCTTGTCTTACCTTGTAGTGTAAGAGGGACTTTCCCAGAACCAACAATCTGGAGGTGGGTGACGGAAGGGATCACGTGAGGATTCCCTGTTGTGTTCCTTCCCACTGTGGGCAGACAGGACACTGGGCTGGGTGGACCTGTGATCTGACCCAGTCTGGCCGTTCTTATGTTCTAACAATCCCTGTGCCCTGCAGAGCTGAAACTGGAGTGCTGCTATGAACGCTCAAGTATTTGCAGTGTGTCTCTGCAGTAGCCTAACGTACTTAGTTTACAATACTCCCATTTGAGTTTGATGTAGTGTGTATAGAGGCTTTTTAAAATAAACTGTAAAAAGATTCAAGTTCTTGCCTGGCTCTTTATCCTGACCACGTAGGATGCAAATGTATGAAATCCTGGCTCAGAACACTCCTTGCTGGAAGGTTTGTGTGTGTGACAATTCGGGTGCTGTGACAGCTGCTGTGTGCCACCCTGATTAGATGCACATTCCTCCAGGATAAGGTAGCGTTTGCAGGCACTGGACAACAACCTTATCTAACACTGCTGAGGCTGTACACCACGATACGCTTGCCAGCCTCTGGAATTTAATCTCCCCTCTGCCTGCTTTCTCTACACCTACCCACAGCAAAATAAAACTCCAGGTGGTTTGTGAGGGCCAGAAGGGCAGCTTGTAGCAGGGTCTCTGCAAACAAACCAACTTCCCTCACATGGTCATGGCTCCAGTGACTAGCCCCTGCTGTATGCATGTACACCCAGCTGCCCAGCTCTTGGGACTAAGGTGAAGTGCCTTGTGACTCTCTCTCATGCAGGATGTGGCTTAGCCTTAAGGTAAGGATGCTGCACTGTTTCCCACACTGACTGGTGAATGGGGTCAAGCAAAAGGCACATCCCAAACCTCCTAGCCAGAGCAGTGCAGGTAGTGTACCAGATCAAGGCTGTTTTGCCTTTGGCCACAAAACACACAAAAGAAGAGACGAGGGAAAGGTTTTATTTTAAACTGGTTGCCAGTTAATATAAAAACCACAATCAGACTCTCCTCCCTAACTTCAGTTTTACAGTTCTGGTACAGCAAGATCCCTTTGTACGGAAGCGGTTTACAAGTTTTTTAAAAATCTTACAACACAGCTGTTGACACTACACTGTGTTAAGGTATTTGGCATCAACTGAGCAGTTGACACGTGTGATGATACAGGGCTGTATGGCTGCTGTCTGCTCCTCAGAGTAACTGGATAGTAAATGAGAAGTCGTGATAATCAAATACTCACACCGACCACGTGTTAGAAGCACAGTCAGCTGAAAACTCCGGAAGATACCAATGAGTAGCACAGTACATGTAACAGCACTTCAGTGAGAAGGCCATGACCTTGTGGAGAAGGTTGGCATTTTAAAATATAATACACACCTCCCTCTGCCAATAACCCAGCCCTCAACCATCTTTAAATACCTGCCAGATCGGTAGGAGCTGAGACTGGCTCATCCTTTACAAAGTAGTGATGTTCAGAAACTGGATGTTGCAATTCCCTAGAAATAGCTCGTGTGTCCAGTGTATAAAATCCGTATACAAAGCATCTCGCCTAGGGCTCCCAGGGCGGGCTTCGCCGCCCGTCAACTTCTGTCTCCACGTGATACAGGACGTCCGCCAACGTGTGCTCCACAACAGCACCCCAGCCCATGTGGCTCATCTGTCGGCAAGGAGAAGAGGTCACTGGCGGTGCAGAGCACAGCTTAGCACTGGGCTGTTTTCTATCCCTTCTCCAAAAGGAAATGGGTTAACTTCAGTATAAAAATGCCTTACTCCTGCCACAGAAGTCTTCAGTTATATATAGCAGTGAGAAAACTGCCTAGAGCATACCCTATGGAAATGGCAATAGTCCTGAAGCTACCAAAGCACTGTACTCAGCAATGAAATGCACAAACACAGAGCCTTTCACCCACCCTGATCTCTCCTCTCAATACCTGTGAAGGAACTGGTCTAAGGAATTTCTGAAGACTTCCTGGAAAAAGCACTTAAATCCCTCCCCTGATAAGGCTGGCGTCTGCTCGTGGCAACGCTGGGAGCTGGCGGACAAAGGAAAGCCTGTGGTACACCTAATGCAGTAGCTTCCGTTTGTGACTCGACTCACACTTCCACAGATGGGACCGACAAGGACTCTAGACCTGTCTAGACGTCACTCAGGTGATGCTTCAGAGGTAAAAGGCTCCCCCCTGCCATCATCCACTTTTAGATGCAACCTTAACATTTGAAGACAGCTGGTCCAGCCTGACAATTCCTATTATCAATCTAGTCTAGGTGTAGTAAGGGGCTGTGTCCCCAAACCATTTTTTCCCCAAAGCATGTTTTTGGAAAGATATAGTCCAGGAGCTAACTCATAGTCCAGGAGCTAACTCATGCTAGCCAATGTCTGATACCTCTTTGAATTTTTCTAACATGCTCGGTCAGAAGCAGGCATCTGCTGTACAGAGTAATGGGAAAGATTTTAGATTTTTTCCCTAATTTTAATTCCAATAAATGCATCCGCGAAGAATGCCTTGTTTTAGGAACTTCAAGCACATAATGGGCTAGAAAAATAGTCTGACTGCACATATATACTACAGGGCGATAGTCGGCAGGATATATCAGGGAGCTCAAGCTAAGATTGTGCTTTTAGACCATTAAAACCCAGCCTGTTTTTCCCCTTCACACAAAATATGGCTCAACTCCATACCTTGGTAAGTCAGCAGAAACACAGCTACTTTTAATGCCACCTTATACTGTTAGATTGGACTCCCCTTCTCCCCTCTAAAAGAGAACCAGGTGACAACTGAAGTGATCCATTCATAACTCTGAACTCTTGTAGACAGAACGGAGGCACAAGAGCTGAATTTAAAGACTGTGCCATATTAACAGCACGAGAAAGCAGATTACGTAGTTATGAACTAGTACTTACGGGGCGGTAAGTGATGTCTCTCGGAGGATATTTGAAGTACGGTCCAAAGTTTACTGAAACCTGTGAAAGGGAGGCAGACAGACTTATCAGATGGACGTGCACACATGAAGCAAAGGCAATCACCTGCTCAGCATCTGACAGGCTGTAGGTGGCATAGAGAGATCTCTACCACCACAGCTTTGCCTCAGCTTTATGGAGACGTGACACAGGCGAAGTTAAGAGACTCCACTTGCAGTTGTTCTCTGTGTCTCCCCTTGCAGCCCAGAGCAGGCAGATAAGCTATTGCACATGTGCTCTGAAAGTCCCTGGGCCCGTATCATTGGAATAATCTTAGCTCTGACTCCTCCCCAACGCTGGCAGGGACCAACTTTCTGCTGTATTTGCACCTCGCCTAATGCAATGAGGGTCTGCTCCATGACTGGGCCTCTCACACACAAATCATCCATTTTGCATCCCCTTTCAAATCTGGGCACCTCTGTCTCGGCATGTACCTACCGTGCAGCCCTTATATAACGAAATGGCAGGGAAATAAACACCTTCAAAAATGTCTTTAAAGGCAACTCCTTGACTGACACCATTTTTATAGAAGATGATCTGCAAAACAAACAGTCAGTGAATCAAGAGGCGTTCATGCTTCACTGACTAACCCTCAATCACTTGTAGCCACCTTCTTCTCTTCTCTTCCCTCCCCCCAGCTGGTTCTCTTACGACTGTAGGCTTTATTTACCACGAGACATGCTTCATTCTGCAAGATGCCTAGTGCATTTGTGAGGTCTTGCATTCCACCAAACAAAACTAGCTGGAGTGATTTATTTTAAGTCAGTCAAAGAGGTGAAACCCAGCTGCATTACTTGCTTATTCAAGTCTATATAAGCGCAACAGAGACCATTCAACTTCACATCCTTGTCAAAGTGTCAAATAAGATTCAAGTAAATGAACACCAAGAATCTTAAGTGAAAAAAAAAAATCTATAAAGGAATGTATGGTGAACTTGTCTGATAGGCTGGTAGTTCCTTACAGTGCTTTGTGGATTTCTAAGGGCTCGTCTCAAGTTTCCACCCTATTCCCAAAATCCAACTTACTTGGCTTCCAGGAGTTTGCTTTAGGCTCTTCTCCGCTTTATCCACAAAGTCCTTCTCTTCAAAATACAAGTAACTTTTGAACTTGATCAAAGCCTAGAAAGGTAAGCAACAGAGCCAGGCTGCAAGAGTCACACCATTATTTTTAGTAATATTATGGCTAGCGGCAGATAGGGCTGGTTAGCTCACAAGCTTCTGACTACTGCAGACCCAGATATAGCAAATGTCAGTTCACCAATGAGGCGCGAATACCCTAAGTATGGGATCAGAAAGCTGCACTAATCACAGGTGCAGCATTTCTGTAGGTTGGCACGTTGGACTTGTGTCAGAATCTCCTACCCAAGTTCATGGAACCAGGATACGGATGTGCCTAATTCAATAGCCAGAAGGTAGTCCGGCTGATGCTCCCTCCCTCATCTGATCCTCACCAGTAGCCTCTGAGTTCAGGTAAAGACCACTGTTTACGTGAGGCATTTGGGGCTTTTAAGACTAGTGCTCTAGACCTTCTCACCATGCTATTTCCTTAGTCAGTGGTAAGAGTTGACACATTATTTGCCTCCCATTCAGAGGACCACCACAGAGCCCGGACAGCTTCAAGATTGAAATTTGGAGAAGCCCAGTTTCCACTCTGGGATACTGCACATTCAAGTGTCAGGACCTGGTTAGCATGGCCAGGGTCTTTTATAGTTAACACACAAAACCAAACCTTGAGAATCTCTAGGCACAGCCCAGGGGATCGAGCTTACCTTATCTTTGTAGGTATCAGGCAGGGACTTAGCAGTCTCTGTATCTTCAGGAAGACTGATATAAAACCCCAGTACGTCTCCTTGCCCATAGCCAGCTGAATAGTGTTTGCCTATGGACTGATGAAACTTTGTTCCCTTCTTGCTGCGCCAGGAGTAACTGAACTTGTCATAGCCTAAGGGAGCCTGAAGGTTCCCTGTGGAAAACCAGAAGTCAGCCCTGGAAGCACCAGACCCTTTTCTTGCATGAACGTACTGTTTCTAGAAGCTGCCAGGTTTAACAAACATTAACATCTAATCGTACATGAAACGGGAATTCTTCCATCCAGGCTACGTATGTTTCAGTGCTTGGTTTTACAAACCACACTGAAAATATTTACTTTGTAAAAATGCGTGAGACACTGATGTGGGCTCTAGGGCATGCAGTGTTGAACGGGGCTAGAAAGAGGCAATAAACCTTACAGTGATTAGCGAGGCCCAGCAAGCAACAGCAAAGCCAGGAGTTTGCGGGACTAATCTGTCCTCCTGCAGTAACCCAGGAACCGACTCACTACACAATACTCCAAAGGGTCTGCAGCGGTCCTGCTCCAATCACATCGAACAACACCTGTAAAGAGTTCTAGCATTTCCACAACAACTCCACTTGCATTTCCTCTTTGTCGTTGGTTCTGTGGCTTATTGCTCAGGGGTCTGAGCTACTTAAAATGCAGAAAATGAAAGCAAGAGCAGGAAGCTTTTACTGCTAAGGAATCTTCAGCAATTACTTTACCTAGTGGTTGTGACCAGCCAAGTCTGGCTGCTGTGTCTGGTGGCATCTCATCCACAGATATCTCAAAGTACCACTCTCCCTTCCGCACGCCATGGGAGGCTCGTACCATGGAGTACCCTTTCTCGCCAATAACGGTCAGTCTGTCATCGGAGATCTTTAGCTGAGGTGCTACAGTAGTTAAAAAGAGGTGATTAGCAAGTGGGTGAGTGAACCAATCCAGGGTTGCGAGACTCACCACCTTTCCCAGCACAAGGGTGTTTTGAAGCTTTACTGACAGACAGCGAGGTTATAGAGAAGATGGCTCATACGGGGAGCTGGCTGCTTGGCTTACCTCGGTCATGCAATGCCAGGAGGACTCGTTCATAGAGGCAGGCTCTGTAGAGGTCTCCAGGAATTGGCTTTCCTGCCCAGCAATCTAGTTCTAGTTTCTCAGGGTCAGGCGCATGGGGGTCAGGCTCAGCCAAAATGTAACGATATCCATCTTTATTAAAGGGGTGTTCCAGAGGGTAGCCATGTGGTGGCAAGCGCTGAGCAGAAAACAAGGGGTCACTGGAAGAGGCACAAGGAAAAACGTTAGCACTGACGTTCCCACACTTGCCATGAACCACACCCACATAAGCGGCTAGACAACATCCAAACCATTTCCCTAAGCAGAGCCATCCACCAAATACTTCCCCTTCACTGCCTTTTACAAGGACATGCCAACGACTACAGCAGCTCATCCCTACGGCTGCTACAAAGTCAAAACCTTCAGGGTGAAATTTGGTTCTGAGCAGAAGGCCCACTCAAGGCCTACGAACATAAGAGGTGCTCACTATGGGTTACTAAAACAGGAGGGCAGATATTCACAGTCAGGAAGTTTATACTTCTACTGTATAAATTCTGCAAATAGATAAACTTAACAGTAACAAGTCACTGGGACAGGATGGCATTCACCCAAGAGTTCTGAAAGAACCCAAATGGGAAATTGCAGAACTATTAACTGTGGTTTGTAACCTATCCTTTAAATCAGCTTCCATACCTAATGGCTGGAAGATTGCTAATGTCACACCAATATTTAAATAGGGCTCTAGAGATGATCCTGGCAAGTACAGACCAGTAAGTCTGACGTCCGTACCGGGCAAATTAGTTGAAACTATAGTAAAGAATAAAATTGTCAGACACATGGATGAATATAACTTGTTGGGGGAAGTCAACGTGGTTTCTGTAAAGGGAAATTCTGCCTTACTAATCTGCTAGAGTTCTTTGAGGAGGTCAACAAACATGTCAACAAGGAGAATCCAGTTGATATAGTATACTTAGGATTTCCAGAAAGCCTTTGACAAGGTCCCTCACCAAAGGCTCTTAAGTAAGTTGTCATGGGATAAGAGGGAAGGTCCTTTCGTGGACTGGTAACTGGTTAAAAGACAGGAAACAAAGGGTAGGAATAAATGGTAAGTTTTCAGAGTGGAGAAAGGTAACTAGTGGGGTCCCCTAAGGGTCTGTCCTAGGACCCATCCTATTCAACTTATTTATAAAAGATCTAGAGAAAGGGGTAAACAGTGAGGTGGCAAAAACTGCAGATGATAAACTGCTCAAGATAGTTAAGACCAAAGCAGACCGTGAAGAGCTTCAAAAAGATCTCCCCAAGCTAAGGGACTGGGCAACAAAATGGCAAATGAAATTTAATGTTGATAAATGTAAAGTAAATGCACATTGGAAAACATCTCAAATATATACACACAATATGATGGGGACAAATTTGGCTACAACTAACCAAGAGAGAGATCTTGGAGTCATTGTGGATAGTTCTCTGAAAACATCCACTAAGTGCACAGCGGCCGTCAAAAAAGCAAATAGAATGTTAGGAGTCAGTAAAAAAGGGATAGAGAATAAGACAGAAAATATCTTATTGCCTCTATATAAAACCATGGGACACCCACATCTTGAATACTGTGTACAGATGTGATCACCTCATCTCAAAAAAGATATCTTGGCATTGGAAAAGGTTCAGAAAAAGGGCAACAAAAATGATTAGGGGTTTGGAACGGATCTCATGTGAAGAGAGATTAAAAAGACCTGGACTTCTTAGAAAAGATGAGACTAAGGGTGGATATGTTATAAGTCTATAAAATCATGACTGGTATGGAAAAAGTGAATAAGGAAAAGTTATTTACTTATTCACACAATATAAGAACTGGGGTCACCAAATGAAATTAATAGGCAGCAGGTTTAAAGCAAACAAAAGGAAGTTTTTCTTCACTCAGTGTACAGTCAACCTGTGGAACTCCTTGCCAGAGGATGTGGTGAAGGCTAGAACTTTAACAGGGATCAAAAAAGAGCTAGATAGATTCATGGAGGTTAGGTCACTCAATGGCTATTAGCCAGGCTGGGTAGGAATGGTGCCCCTAACCTCTGTTTCTCTGGAGGTGGGTGACAGGGGAGGGATTATGTGAGGATTACCTGTTGTGTTCCCTCCCTCTGGGGCATCTGGTATTGGCCACTGTTGGCAGACAGGACACTGGGCTGGATGAACCTTTGGTCAGACCCAGTACGGCTGTAATTATGTACAGGGCTTGAAGAAAGGCAGCGAAAACCGCTTGCCAGCCCCATACTGCGCATGCGCAAGAGCCACAATGCGCGTGCGCTCCGTTCATTCGCGGCACGCGCATAGCTGAAATCTACTCGCCACGGGTGAATAGATTGTATTATTTGTTGAGCCCTGATTATGTATAATGGCCTATAGCTTAGTGTGAGGACAGATTATATAAAAATGCTAATTAGTTTGTACCGTGGGAGTTTAAAGTTTTTAACACGGCTGTATCCTCTCATAGCACGTGCAGAACTGCATCAGAGATGGGAGGCATGAA